ATACATACATACATACATACATACATACATACATACATACATACATATATACATATCAAACTGTCCGTTCTACATTCTACATGTTAAACATGTTTTTTCTATTTGTTTAGCCAATCATGTTCGGGTTGAGTCAGGTTATTAGCGGACACTTTCGTTCATGTGCCGATTTATATTGAAGTGTTGTTTTTTTGGCATAATGAAGCATGGCAGGCTGAATGCGTGTGATAAGAACAAACAAACGACATGCATTCCCAATTGTATGTACTGCCGCCCGTGCAAGGTCTGGCGATTGACCTCATCCCGGTCACTCAATCCCAACTATCATTCCTCAACAAGTCTCGGAAGCACCACCTCAGCCATCACATGGTTGCTGCATTAGTTCTCCTTAGTAACATTGAACATAGTAAAACTTGAAAAAGATGATTGGATAATGTTTAATAACTGTATGATGACCTTTGTAATGTTCTCACAGAGCCAAAATCAATTAATCAGCTGCCTTCAGGAGTAAAGGAGCTACACAACGTGTCCTTATCAATTTTGCAAGTCAATCAATGTCAAGCAAATTGCTATCACCCTCCCCCAGACTAACATAGTTGTGTCCGCCCTGCAATTTGGATTTGAACCATGTTCCCAACCACGGCCTGTTCATTCCTTTGGGCCAAGCCACTCGGACTGTGGAGGACTTTTGCCCACCCCGGCCCCTGGAAACAGAGAAACACCGGAGGAACATTGGCATTATGGCCCACATCGATGCGGGAAAGACCACCACCACCGAGCGGATCTTGTACTACACCGGACGGGAGAAGAAGATCGGATCCTCGGACTGAGGGAGACCCGGTGGGGCAGAGGGCTGGAAGCCATATTTATTTAGAGGGCTGATCGATATGATGTTAGACCTTCCTTTGATGTATCCTTCATTTATTGCAGATGATGTCCATTCATGAACCAGATGGTCTAGCTTTGACTCTTCTACCACAACGTCCAATAATTTCTGGTGCATTGGCAAGACTTGATTCACAATTGGATGGCATGGATGGTAACTGTAGGGTATAATTACAGTTATTTTCTTGTAAGGGAACAAGACTACGGCATGATTATTGATTGATAAACATCCCCAGGCAGCCCTTGAGAAGTGTTGCTCATTGAACTGAATGTTACCCGCAAATTGCAAACTGTAGCATGACACCTGCTTGAGGAACATAGATGAGGAACTTATATAATCCCCTAATGTTGCAAACAACAAGGTCTTCCTTCTTCTTATCCTTCGTCTTTGTGTTTCCAAAGTTCCAGGCGAGGTTCATGAAGGCCAAGCCACCATGGACTGGATGGAGCAGGAGCAGGAGCGAGGCATCACCATCACCAGCGCAGCACCTCGCCTCATCAAAACCCCGGTGGTCCTCCAACGAGGGACCCGAGGGACCCAGAAGGGATTTTTATCGCAAGATTGCTTGTGGTGATGTGTTCGAGGGGGGGGAGCGAGAGAGAGAGAGAGAGAGCAGGAAGACAGAATCACCCAATGACTCGTACAGTACATCAGTTTTGTGTCGGGCGAAGCGTGCGAAGCGTGTGGTGACACAGACCCGGAAAAAATAACCATATACTGGAGGGATTCTTCCTCACTCGGTGGAGCTTGCATCCCAGGTTCTGTGTTTGGACTTGGACCCCGTAAGAGTCCCAAAACTATGAGTATCATAGCAACTCTGTTTTGGGGGGTAATTAGCAGACCTGGCAACCAAAAAAAGCACGTGTTGGCGCGCACCGGCTGGGATCCACAGCGTGTTCACCATATATTCAAGGTTTAGGTACATCATTTGGTGTAACCGATTCATGGATGGTAAGTAACTGCGAGTCTTCTGGTTTCACCTAGTTGCATCCTGCCATTGCCAACTAAGGCCACCACAGCCTTCTGGAACAACCATCGAATCAACATTGTGCCTGGTCGATTGTGCGGCGCTTGTTTGGTTGCAACGAGATCCTTTTGGGACCATGTGGTGTCTCTAAATGAGGGAGAAAGTCGGCGGTTTGGCGTTTGGGTTGTGCTAAAGATCGACACCACCGATCCTTGATTTGAAGAGACACGCCTGACATACTCCAAGTACCCCTAGTGTAGAAGGAACACTTTGAATGTACAGAGCACGGCAAGCAGAGTGTGTCACTCACCCAGACTGTACTCACACAGGTAACCCTTTTGGGTTGAGTATTAAAAAGGTGGATCCCCATCATGTTCGTATGGTTTTCTTAGGTTGAATGTCAGACACGATCAGTCCAAAGATGTCCAACGGAGGGTTTACCCTCAGACGGAGACGGCGGGTAGTGTCCTACCACGGACACATGGCGTGGATATTCCTACACAGTGGCGTGGAACCTACAGTGCTCGCTTTGACACAACTCATGTTTGTTTTGTTTGATTTTCCTCGTGTTTGGGGCCGTCCGTGTCGAGACGGAAGTGTGTCGAGACGGAAGTGCCGTCCGGTCGCTGCCGCCGTCCACGGTCGCGGCCAGACATGGTAGAAGACAACAGCAAGGCCCCCCACCTGATGTGCTCATCACACCCACCTTCCAGCAAAGCACCCAACTAAGCTCCAGGTCGGGGGGGAGCTTCATTCAGGCACCCAGCTCTTGGCCCATGTTTCGAACAATTTTACAGAACAGGTCAAGCGCTTGGGTCTCTCAGGGTTGGAAGAAGACCTGGCAGAGAGAATATTTATCGTTTGTAGATCATTGTAGCGATGTGCAAGATGGGGCTTGTTGGTACGGTTTTCGCTCTCACGATGGCCGGTTTCAACCCTTCACCAGGCCAGTTCAACCGACTGGCATCGGTCGGGCTTGGACTCACTCAGGTGGACACCCCGGGCCATGTGGATTTCACCCTCGAAGTCGAGCGCTCGCTGCGGGTCTTGGACGGCCAGGGCGCCACAGTCGCCCGTGGGGCGCCCGTGGGGATGGCACGGATGGAAACAGCGCGGCCGAGCGCGCCGGTAAAGATCGCCGTGTTTCTCCCGCCACCTGTTTCAGGGTTTCGGACGCCAGTGTGAAATCATGAATCGTGCCTGATAGTTGTAGTTCATGTTGATTCATTTTGAGGGTTTGTCTCAGATTAGACCATGGCTGCAGCTGTTTGGTGCAGGAGGGAAAGCTCGGGGAAGGTTGATGGACTTTGTTCCTAGTATTTGCTGAACATCTCTTGCAGACTCTCAGTGATAATTTTGCCCCACCAACATCATACCTGCTACCTCATCCACCTTGAAGAAAGATCAGAAAGAGATGCCCCAAAAAATTAGGCCACGCCACGATCTCACGAACTCGATCAAATTCATGATAGGACTCCACGTCCCTACCGACCAGATACGATCAGATACGTGTATACGTATATAAGACACAATTAAGATCAATTCTGATGGATCATGATCTTATAAGATGGACCCATCATGATTGCACCCGGAACGCATCTTATAAATCAATTCCTATGTTTTCTCAAAAAAGAACCACCCCAACTGACAACTTCATAAGAACCCTCCAGAGGCCGACATCTGAAGACATATGAAATGATCTTGGACCACTCAGGTGCCGTGGCCGTCTTCGATGGCGTGGCCGGCGTCGAGCCGCAGAGCGAAACGGTGTGGCGCCAGGCGCCGGACTGTGGAGGAACACGGATGGATGGCTAAGGGGTCATGAATCCACTTGGTTGGGATGGCTTAAGGCTTAGCCACATGGAGGGTGATAATTGATAGGATGTGCTATGGCTTCCTAAGCAAAAGCTTGGTTGGGATGCCCATTTGTTTGTTTTGTTCCTGGGTTTCATTCGAAGTCTTGGATGGGTTTCATGCCTTTGCCTCTTGGGCATCTCACTGTTCCAATCTCCACCTGCATATCACGCTATGCCTCTGAGACGCTGGGACCGAGTGGGGGACACGCTTGGTGCGCGTCCGATGGGATCCCCGAGCACAACGACGACCCGCGACTCGACGCCGCCACTCAGATCGCGTCGCGGCACCGTGTAAGAATGTGTAAGATGCGGCCCCGGAGACTTGGGGAAGATGAGGGGCGTCACAAATGGTCACAAACATTGATCTTGTATGATCTTGTATCTATTTTGTAACTGATCGATTCATAGAATTTGTCGCACCCAACCACAAATGGTACCTGCTTCATTTGAAGAATCACCTGGACGCTGGGCGGGCTGGAATTCGTCTTCTGAGCGCAGCGAACCGCTCTTCTCGCTGTCACGTCCGGGCCTTCCAGGCAGACAAGTACAACGTCCCACGCATGTGCTTTGCGCCTCGGGACGGGTGGATAGAGGGACCCATGACCGAATCCCTCGTGCTGAGTCTATAAAGGGACTGTTTTTGTTCCGGACCCAGGGACCTTGCAGCACGCGTGTTATGAGCCATCAGTAGAACACATCACTCAGGGATTCTAGCTTGAAGCACTCTTGACTGGCTTTGGAACAACTTAAGTTAGATGGTAGATGATGGCGTATGATAGGATCGTTTGAGAGAGAGGTGACAAACATAATCATTCAATACCCACACCATGTACACACCTGTTGGTGCAGAGCCTGCACGTGTGTGATAGTGGGGAATGTGATATGCCCATGAAACACATATTTATCCAAGGAATACCTCATTGTTACCGCGAGGTGTTCAGCCTTCCTTGTGGCAACCCTGAGATCCATTGAGGTGAACAAGATGGATCGCGAGGCCTACTGTATTGCTTTCGTGCGAGCGGTGAGCAGTCGGCAAACTCGGCCAGCGATGGGGACCGTCAAATCTAACCTCTTGCCGGCTGTTGTCAGCTGTTGACAAAAAGATTCCTGGCTGTTAGCAATTATTTACAGTTCACCACGATTCTGGTGGTTTAGAGTTAAGAGTTGTTACATGCATTACTAAGGTGATCTAAGCTGCAACTGTTGGTTGTACCGCGGTTGCTCGTCAGTCGATCAGCTTTGATGATTTCCCCCTTGTGTATCCTTGGGTTTTTAATGTTTTTTGTTCACTTGGTCGCTGCAATAAGAGAAGCATTTAGGCCAGAGCTTGCCAATATTCAGACCCAAAGGGCATCTTAGGCAAGGGCACATCATCGTAACTCGTAACTACCCTCCCCAAACGAACATGCCGGCACGTCTCTACCAAGCACCCCCAAAAAGCATTGTCACACGTGCACTTGCGGGACCACGTCAACACCTCAACATCGCCAGCCGCCGGTGTTTCGGGCAAAACACCACTTCCAAGAGATCCCAACAGCATGGTAGTAGGAGGGTCCATCCCTGGTAGTCCATTTTGTTCACGCAGTTTGCTAACCCCTCGTGGTAGAATGAAAGCATCCAACTCCTTGTGGGTTGCTGTACGAACGGGGCCGGTCTCAGCGAATTGTCTGCGTGTGCTGTGCCTCACCGGAAACTGGGGCAATCTGATCCATGTCTTCCTGCTGCAGGGCGCTGATTTCTTCAAGGATGTGTCACTTGGAGATGCAATGTTGGAGGTTTAGCTTGCACCACCTATCAAACATTGATATGATATGTCCAATGTTTAATCTATTTCACTGAAAGTAGTCTACTTGATACATTCGGTTAGCGAGCTCAGATGGTGTGTCACACTGTTGGCGAGCTCAAGCGCTTTCAGAACCTACGAAAGCCAGGGTGTTGTGAGTCAGGGTGTTGTACGCCGCAGCATCGCAGAGGGAGCTGACCTTGAAACGAAAAATGAGAACCACCAGTTTCGCTCCATGATTGAGCTGATCTTGTTGGAGAGCCAATTCAATGAGGACCTCAGGAACCTCAGTTTCAATGAGGACTTCGTTTGGAGAATCAAGAAGTACACGATTGCACGCACGCTAAACCTTCTAACGGTTGTACCTTATATAGTATCCCTATAGCTCTAGTGCCTACCGTTCCGCAGAAGGTCAGACCAGACCGCAGGTCGTCGGCTGGTTTCCGCAGCTCGCCAAGCGGTTCCGCCAGGCAGATGATGGTGGATCAACTGGGGACGAACCCTGTGCCCATCCAACTGCCCATCGGAAAGGCCTCCAGCTTCAAGGGCGTCTTCGAGCCTCGGCGAGGCGGAGAAGATCGCATGCACATATTACTGCACATATACCCCAGACACCGATGGGACTGCCATATATGCCTACATTGGGGTGGTTTGGGGGTCAATGTTGGCATATATGGCGTACATGGAGTGTCTGGGTACAACACGTGGTTCTATATGATGTCGGTAGCGATGTGGCTGCAATCAGATCACCTCATGATGTTCCAACAAAAATTGCTCTCAAGGATGCACTTTGTTCGTTTTCATTTGGGGGATGCAGTTCTTTGCTGTTAGCATGTCATTGCACATGCAGTTTGAATAGCTGTGTTTTATAGTCAACCGACCAGTCATCCTCAACTGGATGGATGTAAATGATGAGGGGTTCGGAAGAACCGACCCCTTGGACATGTGGTGGACATGTGGGCGCTGATGTTTATATGTTTAATGAACCGATCTTCACTGTAAATAGTTTATTTTTTCCCTCTCCGGTATTCCAAAAGCTTAGACCTTTCATATGATTGGCCTGCTGACGCCTACCGTACCATCAGCCATCGCCAGCATGCCGAACGAACACTACCCTCGAACTAGTATTTATCCACCAGTGACAACACCACAGAGTTTCTGATGATAGTTGGTGTATTGGTCTTCGTATGCTCCAAGCACAGCCATATCATGAGTTCTTTATTTGGTTTCGCTTAGGGTGAGTTGTGAATCCCCTTAGGGAAATATGATTCAAATACAGGTTCCATGTTAAAGAGCAAATCCAAGTATAAATTATAAGTATGTTTACTATATATAGATATTTACACCAAAAGATTATGTCATTTGGACGGTCCGAGAACTGGGTAGCTCACACATTTCTTCAAGACCGTGATTGCAACAACAAGACGCTCCCATGGAGTCCCTCACTGCGCTGCCGAACGCGCTGAGGACTTGGTGGAGATGAAGTCTCTGTGGCCCGGAGCAGCTAAGTCATAGTGACATAGCTAAGTCATATTGACTCAATTACGGTGTCATGGGCTTCACTTGGTTTCCACACCAAGGGGGGAGGCCCTTTTGACTACCCCCTTCTCGATCCTTCGGATGTCCCACGCCGAGTTCTTGTCGTTTAAGTCACAGGGCGTTTTCATCCCGACTTTCTGAGCGTTCCCTAGAAAACAGGACAGGATGCCCACAAGAACGATACCCTTTTTGAATGTAGACTTATTGATGATTGATCGTATATGATATGTTTGTATGTTGACCAAGTCTGAACCTTACGTAAGACATACCCCCTAAGTCTGCAATTCATACACCAAAGGATAGGTACAATTTAGAGGCTGACGCCTGATAGCAGGGCGTTGGCCGCATGAATGTAATTTGTTTGTGGCCTACTAAAAAGAAATAGATGTTGGTAATGCATGGAGAGCCGAACTGCATATCCCGCACCACCAATACATTTTGATCCAGCCATGTATAGCTTTGTGCAGCTATGGTGCGCCGGGGTCTTCAACAACCTAGGACGCGAGGACGCTGTTTGCAACAATTGAGTGGAAAATGCCACTGCTAGCAACATGTTCTAATTGCGTAGATACCGGTGCTTTGGGCAGCAGAATGTAAGACACATGTTTAAAACCACGTCAATATCGTTGTTGTTGGCTTGCCAAATTGCAAGAACGTCCCTCAAGCCAAGCAGAGATTAAAATGCGCGCTCGTGCAACAAAAAGCACGCAAATACCGTTGTTTTTGGCTTGTCGACATTGGTCTTTCCTGAGCCAAGTCTTCCGCGGCCGGGCGGCCCTAACGAGGATTTGGAGTGGTTCCGAGCTGGGTGCAGAGTATGAGGTGAAAGTGACTCGGAAGAAGAGGAACTTTTTGGGCTGGACGAGGTCAAAGTGGGAATCCGAAACAGGAGTGCAAATTCTGCATGTTTCTCATGAGAAGAGGTGAGAGGGCGGTGAATGTGTCGTCCAAATCCTCGGGACAGTAGATTCCGCTTTTGCTTTCTCCTCAAGTTACAAGAAGTTTTGACCAGATACACGGTTCAATCATGTTGAATCACACTCCTGTCACCCATGAGGGCCTCAGAGACGTCATATCTCAACCAAGAGGCGCTTTGTGGTGCTTCTCCTCTTGAAGTGATCGACCGCATGTGGTGCATCCAGGTGCTCCGGTTGGCGACGGCTCCAGGACTTCACCAGAATACCCTCCGCATCCGCATCCTTGGTGGTCCGGAGCTACTAGTAGCGTCCTTGCTCCTAGTAGTGATGCCAGGAGCCCGTAGTAGCTTCTGGTTCCTAGTAGTAAGGCCAGGAGCCGCTAGTAGCATCCTTGGTGGTCCGGATGTGATGTAGCACTCAGGATGAGATTCCCGAGGGCATGGAGGAGTTGGTCGAGAAGTATCGCAACTTGGATGGCAGGGTCAACGGGGTATGCCGAACAAAAATGAACAACACGTGTTTGATAGTGTTTGTATGGGTTGGTTCTTGGAAACATCATTTGCACCAAACACCTTCCCGACATGACATATCTATACTTTACCAAAGCAGCCGACACGGGCAAATCTCCGGTTTTGGCAGGGCCCGCCACGTTCCAGGTGAGAATCTGGTTGAAAAGGCAGCGGAGCAGGACGAGGAGGTCTTGGAAGCCTACCTGGAAACAGGCCATTTGTGGCCGCATTTCGTGCAAGGACTTGGCCGCGTGTTGTGAGGTGAGACGCAACGATTTGCATCACCACCGAAGAACGTTTCCGAAACTCTCTGGGAGATGTTGTCTTGGGAGGAGATCTTTGGAGGATGTCAAGATACATGGAACACCCAGGAACAATGGAAAGAATAGGACGTTCCAGATTCAAGTTGCCTTCAAGCTATCCACAATGGAACATGCCAATATATAGGAAGACCAGCCACCCTCAAAGCCAAGGAGTTCTAGAGAAAACTCTCCAGGTTTCGTGCAAATAATCACCCCAATGAGTAAACATATTGTCATCTAAAAATATATATATATATCCAATATGATGTATTGTGCCCACAGGCTATTCTTCCTAAAGTTTCACCTGACTGAACAGAAAAGGATGCCTCTTAAAGGGTTGTGTCCGAAGTCCATTTCTCAACACATCCATGCAGGCTTGAACAGATAGTAAAGACCGCCCAAGGTGAGATCCACCAAAACGGGGTTCAGACTGTTTCGCCATGTGTTGCCGCCGGACATGTGGCCTGAGTCGTGGGAAACTTTTGTTGCGAGAACTGTTTCTGATTGAGAGATGTTTTTAAAATGTTCGGAGCACTTGGCCGGCCGCGAGTTTCCCCGTGATTTAAGCGCAAGTCCAAGTTTTGCTTGAGTTTTGAACAGAAAAAAGATTCTCAGCTTCTCTCTCTTTTTATTTGTGCATGGGTTTTCGTTTTTTCCTGATTGAGACCTGTTACTTGAAGTTCATGACTCAACCATACCCCTTTGTTTTTTGGTCTTTGCCCCTGCACTTCAAGGTGAAGACCCAGATGTGGAGACACTGAAGAAGTGCATCCGCAAGGGCACCTTGAGCTTTAGCGGCTTGGCAGTCAGTCTCGTGGCCTTTTCTTTCCAAGATTGACATGGAGTAAGAGAGAGTTAATATAAGTTAATGATCGTCACATAGAGCGAATTGTATGTCAATTTAGTCAGTGGGTCAAAGTAGGGATGGTTTTTCTGTACTATTTATTTATGTTAACAATGTGTTTGCTTTCTGTTTTGTAGAGGTCAGAGACCGTTTTGGAATTCGTTCTCCTCCGAACATCATGTTTTGTTCAGGGTTCTTATGGCTTAACCGGATACAGAGGAGGCATGACTATCACCCTGTCCCTAAAGGGCATTCGACGAAACCTCACTATCCATGAAGCGCCATCAAACCTCTGAATCTAACCATTCTGAAAGCAACCGCAAACCAAATCTAATACAATAGTGTTATCATAGGTGGCACAAGCCCACCCCGAAGTGGCGAGTGTTGGTTTCTGCAGAGTTGCAGATCAAGACGAGGATAGGGAGGTTATACCTCCGGAAGCTCCTTGTGAGTGATCTGATCTGCCAACAGCTGTGACAATGAAGGTTTGTACTGCTAGGAATGGCTTGATTAGGTCTAATCTAATCAATCCTGTCACCATGGTTTGGTTGTCAAAGAGTTTGCATCATATTTCATCGACTGTTTGCATCAGAAGTGGGTTTCATTTGCCGCTCTGACCGGTCTGTCAGGGGATGCTGGGCCCAACAAACGCCCAGCCAGAATCTGTTTGTGGCGGGTCATGAGGGTCGTAAGGGTTTTGAATGAGCGATTTCGCAACCCTCAAGGTTATTGGACAACAAGACTTGCAACTGATTTTGGCAGGTCGTGCCAACAGGGACACCCTGGGATAAGGTTGTTTGCAGCTGTCGCTCAATGGTGTGTTACGATTTGTGTCAGGCATGGTGCCTGTGCTGTGTGGCACCGCCTTCAAGAACAAGGGCGTGCAGCCCCTTTTGTCACTTGCTGGATGTTGGTGTAGCGGTCGTGTTACCGTGGTGCAAAGGAGAAGATATAAAGATATACACCAAGCAGGACGCAATCGTTTGGCCTTTTCGAAGAACACATGAAAAATAGACAACGTGATTCCTGCATTTTATTTGGACACTGTGATCCAGTGGACCTGGATCAAAGCATTGCCAAAACCATTATCACGTGCGTGTGGCTTTTCCGCACCCAGAGAACCAAGCTAGTTTGTTGTTTCCGCGACTGGTGCCATGACCATGGTATTCATGTTTGTCTCTTGCTATTTCAGCTCTCTTCAGCTTTTTCCTAGTGTAAAATGATAATGCAGAAATCCTCGAAGGCCACAACCTCCTAGAGCCAGCGGCAGCATTGGTTGATTCTCAAAAAGGCCTTTGCTGGTGCAAAGTCAGAAAAAAAACACTGGAAGTTGTGCATAGCTGCTGCACAGCCTTTCGAGTTCCAGTATACCTGAGACTTGACTGGCTGGCCGGGCTGGACTTCCAAGTAATGTCGACGTCGGATTAATAACGCCCCCTTTCAAGGTCAACTAAGAAGGTTGGAGATTGGAGATTGGAGCTCTTGGAGACCACATCCCCCCCAAATAAAGGTGATGACCCGATGATGGATGATGGTTGATGGATAAAGGGTGGATCAGAAGATCAGTTTCACCATGGATTAGTTTCACCATTGGATGAACTTAACCATGGGAAGATATTGGATGCAAATTGCAAAGAAAAGTAACTTCGCAATATATACACACTAGTGAAATACATTTTTATATTTTCTTGGGCAGATAGGCTTGATTGATAGGGGGAGGTTTTTGCAAAGGAATTCGAGGGAGGTCAATTTGGTCAATGTGGACATTTACAGTAGGTGTTAGATGAGTTTATTATTGGGGGCTTGAGAGGGACTTGATCAATATGGGGAGGTTCATTGATCCTATGTCAACATTAGATTGGTTTGCTGGCCGAGGAACGCGGTCTGCGATTACCTGCCTTCACCCTTGGATGTGCCGGCTACGAAGGGTAAGAACCCCAAGGACGAGGAGGAGGAGCTCTTTTGGGGGGGAGTTTGGCCCAACCCCCAGACAAAAGGAACCAATACAGAACGCGGACATGGATGGCCTGTCATGGGCTTGCAAGCGATGGGAAGAGAGAGAGAGAGAGAGAGCCTGGACATAGCCTTGACTTGAGCTCGTATATACATCCTAGTATGGGATCCCATAAGCATTTCCGTTTTTCAATCCAACACTGTGAAAGCAGCCTTTTGCATGTCCCCAGATGGATTTATGTTTGCTTTGTAACGGTCCACACCTTAGCTCATCCCCTCAACTGCAGGGGTGGGGTAGTGGTCCGCCTGTCCACTGGCCCTCTACGACATGTTTGCTTTAGTCTATTCCAGGCAAAGACTCACCCCCTAGGGATTCAAGTACCTTCTCAGAAGTTGATGTGTTCGACACTGTTATGTAGGGTGCCAGGAGGGTCCAGTCGTACCTTCTGAGAAGGTACGACTGTATCCCTGGGGACCGTGTGTTTTCAGAGGGCGAGCCGCTCGACGCTGTTCCTCGAGGAGCTGGAGAGGATGCCATCTCCTGATGAGAAGCTCTCAGGCGGGGTAAATTTGGACTGAAGACCATCACGTTGTTGTCTCAGGTTTGCCTATAATAAATCTGTTGAGATGTTGCTGTTTGTTCAGGGGTCAATTGCCCACAGATGCAATGGCTGGATTCCGGCGCAGGTGATATCAGGTGATGAACGAAGAGACCTTGTCCATGCAACCACATTCATGATGGATTGGATCATACCCTTTTCCATATCTTACGGTCTTAGGGCCGCCAACCCTTTGGAGGAGACCTGCTGGAGGGCATGTTCTAACACCATTTGGGGTGGGGGATGTCACGATTTCTGCTTGCCCATGCTTGCCCTTATTTCGTTCATATTGCCACAGACGTTTTGCTTCTTTCGCTTCGATTGATCCGACTTCGTCCTGTGACTCCGGCCACCCGCATGGCACCGGGCCCGGCTCGTTGGCGCCCGGCTCACGTGAGGCCTGGCCTTCAAGGTGGCGGCAGATCCCTACATCGGCACACTGACCTTCTACCGTCGCTGGGCCGTTCACCGGGGCGAAGCTTCGACCGCGTCGGTGGAGCGCTTCGGCGGTCGCGAGCGTGGTGTCCGGGAAGCGATCGGCGAGTGTCAAGACCTGGACCCGGGTGTTCCAGACTCGGGCACCGTGGGCGAATGAGGCATTTATTCCGGCAAGGTCAAGGCCGGCGAAATGGTTTGGAACCCCCGCAGCAAGGCCAAGGAGAGGCGGAACACTGGTTTCATCCAGGTGGCGGGTGGATCACGGGTGTTGGAACAGATGGCAGTCAGAGTTTGCAAAATGCTGCGGGAGGGCATGCTGAATGGAGAGAACTGTTTCAAGACATTTCAAGACATAAACAATGAATGGAACACACATTGGGACATATTGGGACCAGTTAGAGCCCTACAAGATGCATTCCTTTGTGATCAAGACAACCCTTTACAGCTCAGAGTTGCAAACGTCAAGACGGTGGTTGTGACCAGACCACTCTTATTTCAGATCGGTTCCGGTGGTCCAGCTGTTTAGGGTGGGCAACATGTCCACCATCGACGACACTGCACCTATACCGATACCCCATATTCACCGTAAGGGGTATGCCCCTGGCCTGCTACAGTCACACAAGTTAGGCCGCAGTGAGTGCAGTATTAATGTTGATATACTGTATTATCATTGATCAATCAACATGTCCTGCAGCAAAAGGAGCCGGGAAGGGTATTTCTGAGCTTATCGATTTCTGGTGTGGCCACTCAGGACTTCGGCCAATATTGCTCAGCGTGACTTTCTACAAATGTTCTACAACCATCATTTGAGGCTTCCATGTTATTATTGTTTCTACTATACATACATATACATATCATCATATTATTATCACTGTATCACACAGCCAGCTATATATATATATATTATGTATATATGCTTCAATATATGTAATATATTATTATCACAATATCGTTGCATCGAATCTACACTATGTTATACTAAACTACCATCAATCACAAGCCAATAGCAATAGGACATGTGATTGCAATGGATCTTCCTTATTTTTTGGAGTGACACGAATACCACCCCTAAACTCAAAACTGGCATGTGTACTGTCGAGGGGCATTTGGTAACCTCATACCGCCATGCCCCATACTGTGGAGGATCCATGTGCATTCCACCTACTTCAGCACAAGAAAACACCTGAGAGAGAGAGAGACAGGGCTGGTGCAGCGGGTGTCCCAGCACAAAGCCCATCCCGCAGGAACGCATGGGCCGAATGGTCCTCATGCATTCCAACAAGCGCGAGGAGATCAAGGAAGCCCAGGCAGCAGAGTGATCATCCAACCGGCATGTTTTAGCATCAACCGGAGTTGTTCTAATCAAGATGTCTCACACAGTCTGGTTGAACTTCTGGTCGCTGCCGTGACATTCCATGAGCAAAAGCTCCTACACTCTCCCTGCACCTGCAGATATCCCGTCATGGAAGTGAAAGGTCTGCATGGTGACTTCAGCCTAGCTTTCCAGGTGTTTTCGCATGCTACTTTTCTTGTCAGTGCACCAGGCGGGGGATATCATTGCCATCGTTGGCCTGAAGGACACCACCACTGGATGCCTGGCCGATATGAATGAGACGGCCCCGCGGAAATGAGGGGTATGGTATGGACTGGTTTTTGCTTGTGGGGCAATACCAACCATGAGGCGGAGGAACCGCACTAATACGGAAACAGGCGAGCTTTGAGCTGCATCCTGAAGCTTTGATGTCAATGTTCCAAATTCCTTGGGGGCTGGTGATAGTTTCCTTGACCGTCAGCCACACATCTGTCATGACCTGGCTTGCAAAAGTTGGAGGACCAAGCTACTACAATTCCGGCCCACTGAAGCCCTGAGATTGGATTCACTCAACATAGCCGCTTCATGCTCTCTGTATCTGAAAGCTGCAAGATGAAAGTAAGAGGATCTTTGGCAGACACTACATGGCTTGTCAAGCTCCAATTCTTACACTCCCTGAAATTATCGTGGAAGTGGAACATTGCGCCTGGATTGCAATTCTCCTCTACAAACAGGTGGTGACATCCACTTCCATGGTTATTTCAGGGAGTGTTAGAGCCTTACATGCACCTCGCGGTGTGCGCACCTCCTTGTTCCGGCTGCTCGAGGAGATACCTTGTGCGCCATTGATGCTCCCATCGTCCTTGAGAAGATGGATTTCCCCGAGCCGGTCATCAAGGCGACGACAGCCACACATGAAAAATGGGAGCACAACGAGTCGAGCATCCGAGAAACCACTCAACTCCTTCTCTAATTCAAAGGTTCGCCTTGTCAGGAGCCAGACCTCTGGGACATTGTCTAGCTAGCCGTTGCTCAGGAAGGGAGCTAAGGCCCCCATTAAACTGGAAGGCAAGGAGCTAATGGGAGTTCCCTGACTCCTTGCTAGTTTTTCAGATGAGGCAGTGTTTGCTTTCATCCTTGAAGAACAGTGTGACCCGTTCTGCGAAACTGTCGCTTCATTGGTGGTTCTGTCATGACTTGCAGTTTATTCCCCACCTGTCAGGTGAGGGTTGTTAGATCTTACGTCAGCCCCATCTCCTCCTCCTTTGCCTCCGCCTCCTCCGCCTCCTCGTCGTCCTCCGCCTCCTCCGCCGGACCTCAATCAACCGCGACCATCCACGCCCAGTGTTCCCTGCCGGACCTCAACCGCGAGCTCCAGACACAAGTGTTCCCCACCGGACCTCAACCGCGACCATCCACGCCCAGTGTTCCCTGCCGGACCTCAACCGCGAGCTCCAGACACAAGTGTTCCCCACCGGACCTCAACCACGACCATCCGCGCCCAGTGTTCCCTGCCGGACCTCAACCACGACCATCCGCGCCCAGTGTTCCCTGCCGGACCTCAACCGCGAGCTCCAGACCCAAGTGTTCCCCACCGGACCTCAACCGCGACCATCCGCACCCAGCGTTCCCTGCCGGACCCCAACCGCGAGCTCCAGGCCCAAGTGTTCCCTGCCGGACCTCAACCACAGCACACAACCACAACCACAATCACAAACACAAGCATACCACCACAAACACACAACCACAAACACAACCACAAACACACAACCACAAACACAACCACAAACACACAAACACAAACACACAACCACAAACACAGCCGCAAACACACAACTACAAACACACAACCACAAACAAGCCACACACACAACCACAAACACACAACCACAAACACACAACCACAAACAGAACCACAAACACACAACCACAACCACAACCACAACCACAAACACACAACCACAACCACAAACACAACCACAAACACACAACCACAAACACGCAACCACAAACACAACCACAAACACACAACCACAAACACAACCACAAACACACAACCACAAACACAACCACAAACACACAACCACAAACACGACCACAAACACACAACCACAAACACACAACCACAAACACGCAACCACAAACACGCAACCACAACCACAACTACAAACACACAATCACAAAGACACAGCCACAAACACACAACTACAAACACAACCGCAAACACACAATCACAAACACAACCACAAACACGCATCAAACACAACCACAAACACACAACCACAAGCACAACCACAAACACATAACCACAACCACAACCACAAACACACAACCACAACCATAACCAAACACAACCACAAACACACAACCACAACCACAACCACAACTACAAACACACAATCACAAAGACACAACCACAACCACAACTACAAACACACAATCACAACTACAAACACACAATCACAACGACTACCAGTACCACAAACACAATCACAAACACACAGCCACAAACACACGATCACAAACACAACCACAACCACAACACAGCACACAACCACAACCACAACACACAGCCACAGCACACAACCCGAACACCCACCCAAATCGAGAACTACAATACTCACGACCATGGCAACATGCTCCTCACTACGGCATCAAGACAAATGATTGAAATGTCATTCTGGGGATCACTCGAAGTAAAGTTTCTTTTTTTTGTGGTGGTGGTGGTTCCCAGTGCGTGTTGTGTGTGTGTATATGTGTGTGTATGTTTTGGCTGGACGGGTACCTTTGTTCAAGGCCTTTCCCTCATGGGATGCTATAGGCACTGTAAAACACATTCTATAGTTTGGACAACCTCTTTTCTTGCCTACTTTTGGATGTCATTATGGGTGTTAAGCTGACAGACTTGGAGGAAGGAGGGTTTCCTTTTGGCTCTCCGGGTCTGTTGAGCTCGGAAGGACACCTCCCCCGTTCGTGAATTAGTGTTCAACGAACGTAAAGGGAGAAGGCCAGTGGAACGACAATGCAGCTGGCCGAGGAACGGCACAAGCGGTCGCCGGCTCAAGCCCTTGATAAACTAGCAACAAAAGCGGGTCGCCCCCAAAAAGGATAGCCCTTGCTATCGAAATAATAAAATTCAGGAGCTTGAGGCAACTTTCTCCATAAGAACCTATGAACTTTATTCAATTCGAGGTCTTGTTAACATACCCTGACTTCCAGGCTTCAGGGTTGGGCCTGAACTTTATTTAGGTGCCAGGGGGTGGCACTCAGATAGTTGTTCATGAGGTTGGCCCCCTGGCCATTTAATTAAACTATACTACAGTATAGGCGGCCAAGCACCTCCACCTTCCCAAGCAACACAAACCCTCAGTCTCAGGTGGGCCTCAGCCTGTA